AATTAACCTTGTGACATTTGGGACAGAGTCTGCAGCTTATGTTATTTGAGATGTTAGAAACGACGTAGCCCAGTGGGCAATCAAAGACACAGGTGTTGTTCCATGGCCATCCTTTTAAATGAGAGCATTCTTCTTTATCTAAACAATACTTGTTCATTGATAGAAGTAATCTGAAATAATATAATAAAATAAAGTCTTATTCAATTACATGTGTACAGAGCATTGTGACATTAAAATTAAGAAATTCATTGTTATTAAAATAGAAGATGCTAAAATTATACAACAACATTTCTTTATGTACCTACAATGGTAAACAAGCTGAGGTCCACCTAATTGTAAGCGATAACTGTGGCCTGAATACACAGACAGGGATGTTATCCCTACACCTAAGTGATCTCGGACGACGCGGTTTCAAAGGCGCATCACGTACACTTATGTATGTAGATTGTGGAATGTAGTGTACCTGCTGCAGTTTCTTTAGAGACTACAGCATGGTGATTGTCAAATGTTAAGGTTTTTAGGTTCGGCAACGTGCACATAATACCCCTGTTGTTTTTTCAGTTCCAGACGTCCATAACTTACGGTGACCGTTTACCATTAGACGGGACGTATGTTTGTTTACCACCATCTGGATATATAAAAAAATGACGGTAATACTAACGTATTATTTGGACATTTGGACAGACAGCCCTTTGTATGTATAATTTCGACAAACACTGCAACTGTTTCCGTTGGTCTTCTTATCGAGACATTGTTCGCTGCATTTGTCTGCTTCAGGCCCCTCTACGTAACGCTGACATTTTCTGTACACACATTATTATCATTCTTATTAAATAGTCATCAAAAATAAAGTGTTGCATATAGCTACACAGATAAGCTACATTTATATATAATTAAACAGAATCTTATTAAATATTTTATTCCTTATGTAAATGCATCAGATTTTTAATTATCACCGATACATTACTCGCAATATTTTGTAGCAAAACAATACATTTTATATATTTAGAGAGATTAGTCTACAAAAACTTGTGTCTAAAATAAAATGTTGCAATTAAAATTGTATAAAACGCAACGCGCACGTGACACCTCTCGTGTCTCAGGCGTCCATAGGCTACGGTAACCATCAGATGGGCCGTATGCCACCATCGTAGTATAAAAAAAATAATTATATATTCATTATGGTCCACCGACTTGTAATTCCAGCAGTAGTTCGTTTCCACATCACTAGTACACCCCGCACGTGGAGACGCATTGCATCTTAACGTCGGACGAGCCAAGCACGTGGCGGGACCTGGGCGCTATGATCTTCCAATTGATCGTGTTCAGGGTAAATACCCTGCGGCGCGGCCACACTATTATCCCGCCCCGATCTATTCTCAACAGACTGTACAAGCCGATCTGAAACGCATGACACACAACTACACACAACTACAGCAACTAAATCGATACGTATTAATGAAAACTAAACATATACCACGTTCAAATAGAATAGAATCTTATATAGAAGATAAGTCTTTAACGCATAACATAGTTGCCTAAAGAAATTAGAAAAATCAATTTGAACGTATTAAGTTAATCTGTTGAGAAGGGCTAAGGCTGCAATAGAAATTAGATAATTTATGAAAAAATTTAAACAATTTACAATAGATAAAAATATTTGTACTGTACAGGAATCTAACCCGAGACAGTCGAAAGTAGGTGAAGCGGTGGTGTGTTAAAGTTAGCTAGGTCACCGGCCGCCTAGGCCGAAGCTAGAATGTACTAACCTCTTTGAGATTGGGCATGTCGTAAACGATCAGTGAATAGTCGTTCAATAATTGTGCTCCTCGTATTCTAGTCAGGTTCGGGAACAACTGTCCGATTGACTCTAAACCAATCACTCGATAGAACACCACATATCCAGTAACCTGTACAAAAACATCTCTATTGCAATGACAGTTGGAAATCTCACAAAATGTACGTAACAAAAGCTGCTTCAACTGTTCTTACTCAGTTTAGTCGGCAAAAAATATTCTTTGTGAATTATATACATTTTCTGAGGCGCTCAGGCCTGAATTTAAAAGTACACGAGACTTTCTACTTACCTCTCTGAGATTAAACGATATTCCCTCAAAATCGTCTCTCTTCGTTTTCTCTAAAAGCGAAACTTGAAGGTTACCAACCACTACCATGCAGTTCTTTAATTCATTCAATTTCTCCAATGTGTTGCAGATCATTTTGCTGCATACACCATTGTTCTCAAACGGCATGCTATCTAGACTTTGTCCAAACACATGGCAGGCACTAAACAGAATAACCCTGGAAGAGACAGAGTTTTAAAGTAGTGTACCCATTATTAAAATCATCTCTCTATGAGGAAGTATATCATCAGTACCATAAGCAAATAACAGAACAATCAGTCATTTCTCTTCTATTATCGCACCCTTTGCTGGAACACAGAGTGTGAACGAGCCGCTTGTGCCACAGAAATACGTGAAATCTTGTTTAAAGTTCGAAAACATTCAGAAAATGCGTTCAATAGCAATGTACAATTCTGAAATATCAGAATTACTGTCTAGTCAAAACGAAAAATAACAAATTTGATAAAAGATGAAGCGTGAGCAAATTGTACAATCCAAATATTGAACAGAGCAATATTACCGAACACCATTCGTTTCAATATCTAGGTTTATCTAAAAAGTTGAGCCCTCCGTCACTATTATAGCTTTATTCTAGCCAATAACGCACATATAACATATCTATATACCATACCTACGTACAAATAGTAATGCGAAGATATTATGATACATAGGAAAAGAAGAACATAGCAAGAATGTTACGAAGGCATGTAAGATGATAGGAATGACACTGAAACCTGCTCGTAAGTGCTCCCGAACAGTGCGGTTTCGGAGGATCTTCCTACCGTATTACTACATTTCTTGGAATGAAACTCCATACCAAGGTTTTCTGGCAAGACTAAAGCATAGGATGTTTCAGGAAGAGTATATTCAGGTTTCTGAAAGGTTAGCAACGGCACGTGATACCCCTGGTATCTTATGCTTTCATAAGCTACAGTAACCTTTACCATTAGATAGATCGTATTCCTATTTGCCGAAGACGTAGTATAAAAATCATTACCTAATATAAAACAAAGTCGCTGTCGCTGTCTGTCCCTATGTATGCTTAAATCTTTAAAACAACGCAACGGATTTTGAAGGTGTTAATTTTAATAGATAGAGGATTCAAGAGGAAGGTTTATATATATAATACATACATATACCTGCACGAAGCCGGGGCGAGTAGCTAGTAAAAATAAATCAGAAAAGTTGCAAAAGAATATAAGTAAAATAAATACGGATGGGCTTGTTATGTAGGTATGAAATATGAAATGTTAATTGGCGGTACATTTCCGACATCTCGTACCGTATGCACGTGTTGGCACTGGAATTTTCCTTTATATAAATCCATCTGAAACTCAGTCACATAAAAACAGAGTATTGAAGATAAAATAACATTTTGCAGGATATACCCAATACGTGTGAATGTGTGCGTGTGTTTGTGTGTGTGTGTGTGAGAAGCAAGTGTTCATTAAGCGGTATGTAGTATAGACATAGTCGTACTGTAACGTTAATTAGAAGTCACAAACAATACCATGAGAGCTAACGTCGCCGCCATGACACTTTCAGTTTCTTTGACTTGCCAAACTTCTTGTATTTTCGTGATCGAGTGATACGATTCTTCAATATAAAACTTCTAAATAACTTCAGATATATATATCTTGAAACTCGTAAAGAAAAACACATTGTCTTTTCTAACAATTTCCAATGTTTTAAGTCACTCGCATAATATTTGTTGAACAAAAGTTTTTTATTCTTTGTATCGATTAAACGTAGATACCTATGCAATCGCAGTTAAAGTATTTAACATTAAACAAGTACATAACAGTTGGAGTATACTTAATTGTATTTTATTCCACAAAAAAATCCGATTGCTTGAACACTTAGAACGAAACGGTAATAATTTAACAATTCGTTGTATAAATCATTAGATGATTCTCTTTTTGAAATCTGCTAGAAATATGATTCAACACACACCTAGCCAATCATTCGAGAACGTGGCACCAAAGATTTTAGGTCGAACTATACGAAACGTTACATAAAGGCTCCTGACACAGCCCAGTGAAAGATTGCGACTTGTTTCATGTTTCAATCAAAAAGCATGGGAAGTCTCACTCGCCCTCTGCTTTAAACAACGTAAAAGGAGTGATTTTGGGTCGAAAAATTGTGTAGTTCCGTGGCTAGAACTTTGGGTTCCGCGGACTTGTTATGTGTGACCGGCCACGTACTACTTATTGGCATATAGATTAACAATTTAAAGAATTGTACTGATTTCTATTATGTACAACACTTATCTGTGATTATATTAAATAAAGATAGAAGAATAGCTACCATCACACTTCATTTTGTAATGCTTTTTCTAACATTGAATAGGAAATATATGACACAAAAATAAAAAATTGTGTTGACATAACAAAAATATAACATTATCAGTTTTTTTTCGTGGTACTACAAATTTAAGAACAGCCTATTTATTAGAATGCATGTACTTTTTAATATTATGATGGTCGTGCGAACATTTCTTGACTACATCAAAATGAAACCTCACAAAACTTTATTTCATCAAACATCACAGAATCGAGTAGACGCCATAAGATCCGAGCGAGCCACGTGAAACTGGGATTGTATAATTGTATTATTTTATCACACGTTATACTCGTCACGTACAATATTACGTATTAAATATAGTTTTATTTTCCTTAATTTAATTAGCACACACTATCAAAATGTCCCGGTTGGCACCAGTTCAATCCTAGTACTGACACTTAGTTACAGTTCATACTTATTATTTAATTTTCTTCGGCCACCGATACATTCGGGATCACGACCCTATTAACGTGTTTCAATAACACAGGCAGCTACAATTATTATGTTCTCGTACAGGCCCATACCTTGATACCGTTAAATAGTGTATCCATGTATATGTACATACATACGAGACATACAGTATACATGTATACAGTATAGTCGTATATACAGATGCGTAGCAAGGTATCATAGAACACATACCAACCTGGTGCCCCACTTCTGGCACCAGACCTTTTACTCAGAATAACGGTGGGAAGATTCACATCACCACGACGATCGCCAATATGGAGTAACAAAAGTAAGTCACAAAAGTATAAAACAAACAGAGAAACTCTCATTTATTATACTTATAAAAAAATATTCTCAACTAGCAATTTGTCAGGGCTATGACTACGCGAACTAATTTATGTACTTAATTGCTTTTTGCTAGTATCTGTGTATAATGTTTCTATACCTACTCTAATATCCTAATACCTAATACAGTTATATAGTCTATTTTTTTATGGATGATAATGGATTCACGGTACACCCGCCTGAGCTAAAGGATTACGCTGGCGGGGCACCAGTGGAGGATGATAAGATGACCATGAGGTCAGGTCAGTTAGCCCATCGTGACAAATTTACAAAGAATTTATCACGATGTTTTCCAGGGGGAACCGCGTGGAGGTCAATCTAACGTGGTAAATTGTCAGCATTAAGATCATCGTGTCCACATTACTAACAATCCCTATATTACTTAGTAATAAAACTATCAGACTGAAAGAACAGACGTTCTTTTGTTGTTGTTTCATTTCACGACTAAACGGCTGAACAGATCATTATAAATTTTGACGTATGCACAGATAATAATAGACAGATATTAGGTAGCAATAAACCTATCTATCAGTGTAACATAAGCTACATTTTAATTAAAAAATAATCAGAAAGTGATCTAGGTAATGAAAGTATGAATGAGGCAGAATCAATCGGTTCTTTAGTAATGCACATAAAAACGTTATTAAAATAAAAAATACACAACTGTAATAAGTAATTGTAAGCAGATGTCATGGGTACCTCATGCCGCACTGTACATTACAAACTTAGGTCATTTTAAAGTAACGCAACAACAAGAAATTTATGCTAACAACAGATAAATTCCTAACGCATTCACACTGTATTTATATTAAGCGCAAAATATAGGTATGTAACGTACTAAATACTATTTGCACACAGCAGCAACAGTATCACAGTATAACAGTATACGAGTACCTACCTATTTAACCTCAGGCTACAAGGTAATAACTCACGATATTTTTACAACGTGAAATAATAAAACAGCCTGTGAATGGGAACCGTAGGTCAAGTGGGTTTAACGAGCAATATTGCATTTTATAAGCGGCCGGGCTGAGTAGCGGCGGGTGCTGAGTGCTGAGTGCTGAGTGCATGCTGTGCCCACTTGCAGCGTATCTCGCTGCTAGTACATGCCTACTGTACGACAGCAGACACCGCCACTGTCCCGTACACAAACAGCTGATTAAGAACAAGCATACTAATTAATCTTCTCTTATTGCAAGGTTGAAATGTTACGGCAACCACAGTGGTCGAGCGGTCTAGCATACCGCTTTACGTCCGATGGTCGAGGGTTCGATTCCTCGCACGGCACAAACATTTGTATTCATAGGTATGATTGTTTGTATCGGTCTGGGTGTTTTCTATGTATAATAAGCATGTATTTACGAAAAAAAATATCTGTGTATTTGTATCAGTTGTCTAATACATAACACAAGCTTTATCTAGCTTAGCTTGGGTCTAGATGGCGCTGTGTGAATTGCCCTAGATTATTATTATTATTATTATTATATAGTATATTATAATAAATATAATACATATGAAGTCGCTTCCGCTGTGTGTTCGCTTAGATCTTTTAAACTACGCATCGGATTTTAATGCAGTTTTACCAGTAGATAGTGATTCAAGAGGAAGGTTTATAAGTATAAAATAATGTACACCCGTGGGCGCGTAGCTAGTTTACAAAAAAAAAGAAAAATAGTAGATATCATTTATATCTTATTATTATATAATTACTGGCTTGTAAATATAGATAATACTAGTTGTGCTCGCGGTTTTACTTTATATTTCAATATATAAATTTCAGTAAAAAGCCTATATGTTATTCTGATGCATAAACTACATATATTACTGTAAAGTTTCATTAAAATCCATTCAGTAGTTTTTGTGTAAAAGAGTAACACATATCCATACTCACAAACTTTCGCGTTTATATTCTTATTAAGATACTAGCTGTCCCGGCAAACGTTGTATTGTCATAGAAATTAATAACACTGTAAAAAATAGGGGTTGGTGATAGAAGGGTGAAAATTTAGGGTTGTATGTATTTTTTAATGACACA